ACGGTTGGGCCTGCCAGTTTGGCGAGGGCCCCGCTTTGAAAAGGAAATGCCTATTGCAAAAATTGACACGTGTTGTCATGAACGTCGAGGAAGTCTCAAGCGGCAGCTCGATTCTGAAAAAGAGCCAGCATGGTTCCGTGCAGCGCTACGGCGTTGAAGCCTCGGGCCTTTAAACATAATGAGGTCTCAAGCGATAACTCCGTGTTGAAAAAGAGCAACCATACATCCTGCTAGACGCTGCATTGAAAAAACGAACGCGCGCGGCGCTGAGGCGATAGCCCATTATGAAAACGACCAGCCAGTCATTGAAACTCCCGCAATAATGTGAAACGAATGCTTGCGGCACTAAGGCGAAGGCCCCCTTATGAAAAGAAGTAGCCCGCCATCCGTGAAGATAGTGCCAAAGTGGAAGACGGATGCGAGCGGCGCCAAGACGAGAGCACCAGTTTGCAAAGGATCCCCGTCCATCCGTGACACTGCTGCAGACGTTGGAAACAAGGTGCGCGGCTCTAAGACGAAAGACATATTTGGAAAAAACAGTCCTTTCCACAAGTGAAACTGTTGCACATGTGTCAGACGACTGTGCGCGGTGAAGGCAAGAGCACCAGTTTGAAAACCACCCCCGTTGAACCCCCGAAATTACTGCGAAGATATAAAACGAAGGTGCGCTGAGCTAAAGCAAGAACCACATGTTCACAACGGCGCCCAGTACATCCGTGAAGCCGCTGCAGACTTTTGAGACGAATGCGCGCAGCGCTACGCCGAGAGCCACGTGTTGGAAAATAACCGCCTTGCACCCCTTAAACTGCTGCAAGCTGTCGTAGCAAGGGTGCGCGGCGCTAAGGCGAAAGACACATTTGACAATGGTCCCTTCCACCAATGAAACTGTTGCAAATGTTTCAGAAATTTGTGCGCGGCGCTGAGGCGGGAGCACCATTGTGAAAACCACCACCCTTCCATTATTGAGGTTGCTACGAGCTGTTAAGACGAAGGCGCGCGGAGCCAAAAGGAGAGCCACACTTTGAAAATAGCGTCCATTCCTCCATCCTTGAAACTGCTGCAAACTGTGAAACCGAACATGCGCAACGCTCAGGATAGAGCACCATTTTGAAAACCATCCCCTTCCACCCGTGAAACTGCTGCAAACGTTTCAGCGAATGCGCACGGCTCTCAGTCGAGAACACCATGTTGAAAACCACGCCCCCTCCATCTGTGAAACTGCGTCAATTTTTGACACGAATGGACGCGATGCTAAGGCGAGAGCCACAGTTTGAAAACCACCCGCCCTCCCGCCCTCCTCCACCCGTGAAACTGTTGCAGCTGCTGGAAATGAACGCGCGCGGCGCCAAGGCGAGAGCTACACTTCGAAAATCAGTCGCCCCGTCCACCCGTGAAAATGTTGCGAATCCCCCATGTTAGATAGATCGGCGGTGAGGAAGACTCAAGGGAAGCACGCCTGGGGGCACGACACCTAAAAGTCTGCCATGACAAAGAAAATGGATCGAGGCGAGGAGGAGGAGGAGGAGGAGAAATAGAGGAGGAGGAGGAGGAGGAGGAGGAGGAGGAGGAGGAGGAGGAGGAGGAGGAGGAGGGGGAGGAGGGGGAGGAGGAGGGCGTCGCCGCAGCAGTCCTTCTCAAGGGCCACCGCCCTCTCGTTCCTCTGTTCGGTTTCCTCCGGCTCCAGCTCGGGCGGGGCCAGTGTCTCCGCACACAGGGAGGGGGGAGGAGGTGTGGGGGGGGGGGGGCGGCCGAGACGGTGGGACATAAAAAAACTAGGGGGGGCGGAAAGGAGGAAGGGGGCAGGGGGGAGGGGCTACTGGAGGACAGGGTGACAGGGGGACAGGGGGACAGGGGGACAGGGGAAAGAGAGAGGGGGGGGGCAGGCTAGGTGCGCTCGCGCCATATCTGGCATCCTACCCCTCCCACCCGTCCTTTCCCACTGTGCCGATTGTTTCTCTATCCGCGGACGCGTGTCATAGCGGACCTGGACCTCCGAAAAATTATCCCGGCAAAGCGACCTGACAGCGATGTGTATAAGCATATCTGGAAGCATTCCCCTTAAGATTCAGGTGAGAATCCAGTTGTAGAATTCTGCTGTTCTCGCAGTCGCAGTCGCATTCACAATGACAGTCGCAGTGGCAACGGCCTTAGGATCCAATGGAATCCTAAGGATTCCTAGGGATTCCTAAGGCATCCTGAGGCATCCTTAGGAATACATAGGAATCCGTTGGAAATCTTAGGTATCCTTAGGAATCATGATTCCTAGGGATTCCTGAGGATGCTTAACTATGCCTACGGATTCCTAAGGATGCCTACGGATTCCTAGGGATTCCGAGGGATTCCTAAGGATTCCTATGGATTGCCACTGATGCCTCAGCCTGCCTCAGTTTCAGCCTCAGCCTCAGCCTGCCTCGGCTTGCCTCAGCCTCAGCCTCAGCCTGCCTCGGCCTCAGCCTCAGCCTGCCTCAGCCTCAGCCTCACCCTGCCTCGGCCTCAGCCTACGTCAGCCGCAGCCTCAGCCTGCCACAGCCTGCCTCAGCCTCAGCCTGAGCCTCAGCCTCAGCCTGAGCCTGCCTCGGCTTGCCTCAGCCTCAGCCTCAGCCTGCCTCGGCCTCAGCCTGCCTCGGCCTCAGCCTGCCTCAGCCTCCCCTCCTCCACCCCCCCCCCTTCCCCCCCCCATTCAGCCTCACCTTGTCTCAGCTTCGGCCTGCCTCGGCCTCATCCTCAGCCTCAGCCTCAGTCTCAGCCTCAACCTGTCTCGGCCTGAGCCTGCCTCAGCCTCAGCCTGCCTCAGCCTCAGCCTCAGCCTGCCTCAGCCTCAGCCTCAGTCCCTCAGCCTGCCTCAGCCTCAGCCTGCCTCAGCCTCAGCCTGCCTCGGCTTGCCTCGGCCTCAGCCTCAGCCGGCCTCGGCCTCAGCCTCAGCCTGCCTCAGCCTCAGCCTCAGCCTCAGCCTCAGCCTCAGCCTCAGCCTCAGCCTCAGCCTCAGCCTCAGCCTGCCTCAGCCTCAGCCTGCATCAGCCTCAGCCTCAGTCTGCCTCGGACGCAGCTTGCCTCAGCCTCAGCCACAGCCTCAGCCTGCCTCGGCCTCAGCCTCAGCCTGCCTCAGCCTCAGCGTCAGCCTCTCAGCCTCAGCCTGCATCAGCCTCAGCCTCAGCCTCAGCCTTAGCCTGCCTCAGCCTCAGACTCAGCCTGCCTCAGCCTCAGCCTGCCTCAGCCTCAGCCTGCCTCAGCGTGCCTCAGCCTCAGCATCAGCCTGCCTCGGCCTCAGCCTGCCTCGGCCTCAGCCTGCCTCAGTTCGGGCATTCAAAATATGGCACAGGACTGGTGTTCTGGGAGCACGAAGATCACGAAGTGGCCCACAGTTGGCTCCGGCCAATCAAAATATGGTACAGGAATCGTGTTCTGGGAACACGAAGAACACGAAGTGGCCTACAGTTGACTCCGGGCATTCAAAATGTGGCCTGGGAATGGTGTTCTGGGAGCACGAAAAACACGAAGTGGCCTAGAGCTCGCTCGGGGCATTCAAAATGTGGCCTGGGAATGGTGTTCTGGGAAGACGAAGAACACGAAGTGGCCTAGAGTTCGCTCCGGGCATTCAAAATGTGGCCTGGGAATGGTGTTCTGGGAAGACGAAGAACACGAAGTGGCCGACAGTCGGCTCCGGGCATTCAAAATGTGGCCTGGGAGTAGTGTTCTGGGAACACGAAGAATAGGAATCCATAGGAAACTATAGGAATCTATAGGAGTCCTGGGGAGTCCCCGGTTTTCCCTGGCATCCCCCGGATCCTGCCCAGACCCCCCTGGGGAATCAGGATGCTCTCTTTTGACCCCACTAGAAACCCATCAGTCTTCGCTGTTAGGTAAAAACGCGAACTGGAGAGGAAGAAGCGGGAGGAGCAGGAGGGGGAAGACGGAGGAGGGGAAAGGAGGGGGTGACAACGAAGCGGAAGAACTCGGATCCAGTAAAGTGGCCAACGCTAGGGGGAGAGCGCCACTCTGAACGACAGGAGCACAGCCACGATCCTAAAATGAGACCCACGCTACAGCGGGAGCACTATTTTGGAAGGACCGAGAATGCTCAGACTGGAAAACACTGGAGAAAAACCAGCTCGGCACCATCCTGAGTGTAAAAGAACAGTACGCGTAAGGGGCCAGGCGACTCCCAAGCCATTTTCCGGGGAGAAAGGAAAATGTGCTGACATTGAGTAAGTGCAGGGGGCAAGCTAGGTGCGCTCGCGCCATATCTGACATCCTGGCCCTCCCACCCATTCCTTCCCCTTGCGAAGATGCCTTCTCTGTCAGCCGACGGGTGGCACAGCGGACCTAGAACCCCCCAAATGACCCCATTGCGTTACGCGCAATCATAAGAGGAGCTTATTCTTCTTGGAGGCGGAGGTGATGGATGAGCAGGAAGTAAGCAGCAGGAAGAGGATGAGGAAGACGACGGAGGAGGAAGGGGAAGAGGGAGAGGAAGAGGAACAGCAGCAGTAGCAGGAGCAGGAGCAGAAGGAGCGGGAGGAGCAGGATGAACAAGGAGGGCGGAGGAGGGAAAGGAAGGGGGCGACTACGACAGCGAAGATCTCGGATCCAGAAATGCGGCCCGCGCTGGAGCGAGACCGTCATTTTCCGAACGACTGGAGCAAAGCGCCGCTCCTGCTTACGTGTGACAGAATGCGGTGTGGAACATGTGGTCAGCGCCATCGCAAGGGCGGAAGGGGTCGCTGCTGAGTCCCAGGGGCCATTGCTCGACGCCGTGGGGGCGGAGGAATCCGATGGGCAAATCGGGGCTGCTGCTACGGTCGGTAGGCGCAGCGTCAGGGTTCCGCAGTTCCCCAGGATCTGCAAGTCAACGTCCTCCCTCGCACTGGTCGCTACCATTCCGTTGCGCTGGTCTGCCACCTGCTGATCGTCCGACGAGCGATCCTGTGCCATGGCACTGCCTTGACGCATAAGCTCCGACATCCGCGCAGTTTCCTGCAAGAGCAGCATACCAACAGATGCGGGCCGCACAAGCTCGGGGGAGATGGTGAGGAGCGGCGTGCCAACACTGTCGCTTTACGGCTCAACTGCAACAGCCACCCGGAGGAGGAAGCGGAGAAGGGCGAGAAGGGTGAGGACGCACTAGAAGGATGAGGACGAGGACGAGCAAGACGGAGATGACGATGGGGGGCAAGAACAATAAGGCGGACGGGAAGAAGCAAAAATAGGCTTGGTCAAGCGATCGGGGCCTGGGCGGATTCCACCCCCGCCGGCTTGGTCCGCTCAGCTTCAAGCTCCTGCGCGGAAGTGGGAATCCAAGACTCGCTTGCACACGTGCGTAGCATCTTTTGTTCACCATTCCACCCTCGTTCAATTGCTCTGGTCGCCTGCTCGGTTGTCGGTGGTGCGCACGACGCTGCCAGCGAGGCCAAGACAGACGACCTACTTCTTCGTGCTCTAGCAAGCACATCAAGCTTGCACAAATGTATACCATATCTACACATGAATATGTATAAGCATCTCTGTATATATATATGTGTGTAGATATACGTATCTGCGAACACATGGTATGAATAGAATCGCGAGTTTTGTCTGCGACGCCCTGTTCTGAGGGGAGGTTGCGCAACTGGAAGGAGGTGGGACTCTGAGGCCCTTGACAAGCTAACAAAGAGTCGCAACTGCAGCTCGGGGAGCTCACTCCTGTCTCCTCCAGCCCCATACGGCCAAGAACTGTTGATAACGTCTCGGAACGGCAGCCCCGACTACACGCTATATCATGCAATCGGATGGCGTGTCGCTCCGCTTCGCGGGGCGGGAGGCTTCGAAAGGCTCGGGACGTTGAAGATCGGGGACGGGGACGTGCTCGGAGTGAAGCGCCGGCGCGACACGCGAAGCCGAAGTTCCCGACCGCCTTCGCTGCTGTCGGACCTGCCAAACCACCGAACACACGAACCGTGTCCCCAGAGGGAGCCTCTGGTTTGGACGCCCGAAATGGGTACCGAAAAAATGGGTACGATGCCCAACAGCAAGTGTTGTCCCAAGCCAACAGCAGCCGCTGTTGGGCAGGCGGCCTTCTGTGGGATGCACAAAGACGTACTAATACTATATGTCATCCTTGGACGCGCGCGTCCGACCCGGACATATAGTATACCCATCTTGTAGTATATCGTTTCCCGAGCGGTGTGACCAGAAAGCGCCCGCCACGACGCATATACTATAAGATTTCTCGGTGCGCGCGTCGCCCCTGGGGGGGGCGACGCACATATAGTATAAGTATGTTGGGGTGTTGCCGATTCTGTCTCGAATGGACACAGGCCGCGGCGGCGTGGACAGCGAGCCCTGCCCAAAACGAACAGGAACTGCTGTTGGGCATCGTACCCATTCTTTCCGTGCCCATTTCGGGCGTCCAGATCTGGGGCGGACCCGCCCGAGGCGCGCGGGGTCGGCCGGGAGCTCCGCGGCGGACCCGCACTCTCCCGAGCTGCGCGCGGCACCGCGCGTGCAGAGGGGCCGCGCTCTCGCCCGGCGTCCTTCCGACGCTGCTCCCAAAGCGCCGAATCCATCGCACGTCTCCTCGAGTGTGGCGCTGAGCACCACCGCACTGCCGATGCCAACGAAGCTTCTTGCCAGGAAGAGGGAGAGAGAGAGAGAGACAGAGAGAGAGAGACAGACAGACAGACAGACAGACAGACAGACAGACAGACAGACAGACAGACAGACAGAAAGAAAGAAAAGAGACAAACAAACAAGCAAACAAAACACGAAAGGAGGAGGAGAATCCAGATGCCCTTCGCGTCGCGAAAATATCAGGACAGAACGCTTGCGGCAGTTCTCTTGTTGCTGGAAGGCATCTACACGGATCTGGGCCCGTCGACAAAATACTTTGGCTGAACAGCTGGCCCCAAGAAGGGGGCGAGAACCCATGGGCCCGCGACACGGAAAAATCGGCGTTGGAAGAGAGGGGAAAAAGGAGAATCCAAGCTTTGAGATGTTTGCTTGCACGGTTCTGGGCCCCTGGAGGCTTCCGGAAGCCAGCGGAGACCTCGGGGACCTCCAGGCCCCTTGCGCGCGTCTTACGCGCGAGGACATGGCGGCCCCACGCGATGGCTTACGCAAACCGCCAAAGCGGCACGCCGCGTGGAGGAGTACGCGCTCAGCAAGACCTTGCGCGGGCAGCTCGCGTGCGCATGTCCGTGCAGATCGACGCTCCTCTTCCTTGGGCTACACATGAGAGTGACCCTAGGCAGGAGTGATCTTTGGTGCGCGGCTTTCGGAGGTTATCGGGGGGGGTCAAATCCACGCGCGCAAACCAGTGCTGGCGATAGAGGCCTCCCACATAGGTTTGGAGCAGATGGGGTCGGAAAATCGCGCGGCACCTTCGATGCATCACTAATGCATCGGCGATACATCGGCGACGTCGGCCATGCATCGGCAACGCCAGCGTGGAGAAAACCGTGCTCCGCATTGAGACGCACCGCAGATGCATCGGCGATGCGGCGCAATCCCCCCCATCTAGGAGGCCCAGAGGGCTGGCCCCTGTGCCGGTGACTCAAAGATGGGGTCCTGAAGATTGGGTCCTGAGGATAGAAAGGGGATCCGAGGGTGGATTTACATCGTTTGAGGCTCCTCGTCCTTACGACCCCATCCCTCAAAATCCCATCGTTGAAACACCGACTGTGGGCCCACGCCAGGCCACTCCGGAGAAGGGCCACTCTCACGCGAGAAACCAGGGACGGACGCGCCGCGGGGCCTTGGGAGCCGAGGGCGGCCCCGTGACCTCCAGGCGCCACGAGAGAATCGCGAGGAGACCTCTTGCTTCTCTCCCGCAACTCTGTCGGGGGGGGCGCAAAAGGTGGGGCAGGGGCAGGGGTGGTTTTCGAGGGAACGTCACTCGAGACGCCCCTTAGAAGAAGGCAGTGTCAGCATCCGACTGGGTTCGTTCCCCGACCTCACCTTTGCGGACCCCTCCCTCTGAGATACCCCTGGCGTTTGCCCCGGCGGGCCGCTCTTGGGGCCCCGCGGGGGGCCAGCAGAAGACAGGACCGCGGCAGAGAAAGCAGGTCCAGGACGAGGCTCGAGAGCTCTGGGGATTCCAATCCGCGAACAAGAGAGCAACCTGGGAGGTCTGAGTACTTGTCGTCTTCATCATCATCATCATCATCATCATCATCATCATCATCATCATCATCATCATCATCATCATCATCATCATCATCATCATCATCGTTATCATCATCAACACCATCATCAGCATCATCAGCATCGCCATCATCATCATCATCATCGTCATCAGCATCATCATCGTCATCAGCATCATCATCATCAGCATCATCATCATCATCATCATCATCATCATCATCGCCATCACCATCATGATCCACATCATTCGCATCATCCGTATCATCCGCATCATCCTTCTCATCATCCCCATCACCATCATCATCATCATCATCAATCATCATCATCATCAGCATCTCCTCATCATCATCACCTCATCATCACCACCATCATCAACAACAACCACACCAATAATTTGAGACTGTTCGCTCTCAGTTGCTCGCGTGCCATACCACACGCATATCCCAGACCATCGATACCTGCCCTCTTCATCTTCGATCGTGCCCCCCATTGGGTGTATCTTCTTTACCTGCCACGTGTATCTGGTGCACCCCCTAAAACAAGGGCAGAGAGGACGGAAGGAAGGAAGGCACACGGGGGATGGAGAAGGATGAAGGTCGAGAGAGAACACCAAGAGGGGGGCTAGCAGAACCAGACGGGCATATCGGGCGGGTAGACCATAACGGGCGGGTCGGGAAGGCGGGCCCAGCTGGCCAGGTCGAGAAGGCGGGTTGCTGAAGCGCGCGTCCTGCATGGATCTCGAGGAAATCTCGAGCGAGAGCGCGATTCCGAAGAAAACAATTATTTTGCTTCGAGCGATCCCCACCGAAACCTTCGGCGTTTGGTCCCAACGGTGCGCGCGCCTACTGGAAGGATGTGGGCAGATCCCGGCGGCGTCGGCCAGCGCGGCGGCCGGGCCAGGTCGCAAGTTGATGTTTCCGAATTCTGACGACCCCAAGGCCCCTGACGAGGACAAAACCAAACCCAAAACGCTTTTTGCGATACACCAATTTGTTCTGAGATCATATCAACCATCGGTAAGAGGACGAGGAAGAACAGCAGCACCACCACGAGGAGGAGACGATCGACGAAGGAGAGGAGGAGGAGGAAAAAGGAGGTGAGGCGGACCTCGCCTTCCTCCTCCTGTTCCTCCTCAACGTCCTCGTTCCTCCCCCTCCTCTTCCTCCTCCTCATCCTCCTCCTCCTCCTCCTCCGTTCCCTCCTCTTCGCCCTGCTCTTCGTCCTCTTCCCTCATCATGCGCCTCGCCCCCCCCATCTGCCCCCTCGCCCTCGTCTTCTTCGCTCCCCCGAGCATGCGCGGGGCGCGCGGCGGCCCCGGGTGGAGCCCCCCTGGCACGTGGGTATCCGACATCCATGGGTGCACGTTGGCTCATATATGTCACCATATGGTTGGATATACTATGGTATGACATGCGTTGCGGCACTATGTCATTGCTGGATATGCTGACAGATTATGTTGTAGTATGCTGTTCCGTGATGCTGTTGACGGCTCGGCTGAGTACATTATGGAATGATCTGCTCTGCTAGTATGTTTCGCAAAACCCTGGTGACACGTGTTATGATATGTTATGTGATGATGTCTCATGATATGATATGCCCTGCCATAGTGTATTACGTTATGATCGGTGATATTATGTTATGTTGTGGTATGTCGTATTATGCTATATCATGCTATGCTCTGGTATGGTGTGTGATGTTGTGTTTGTAGACAACTCGGTACAGTATGATATATGATGACCTGCTATGCTAGTATGGGGCGGTATGATCTACTGTTGTCTTATGATATGTTATGCGATGAAGTGCAATGGCATGGGATGTTATGCCAAGGTGTCTTATGGTTTCCTTGGTTATGTCATGTTATGTTGTGCTATGTCGCCTTCTGCTCGACCGTGCTATTACATGATGTGCGATGTGACGGTCGATTCGATCATGCTCTTTTTTGTCATGAGTTTGTTATGGTATGCTCTGTCATGTTACGGCATGCTCGTGTTATGGTATGCTACCTTCTGGTGTGACATGCTGTGTTCTGGCGTGTTCGCCGCTATACGCTGCTGACGTATTATGATATGTTTGGTGACGCTGCGCCATGAAATGATTTGTTATGCAAATGTGCCTTATGGTATGCTCGGCTCTGTTATATTGTGTTGTGTTATGTCGTTTGCGGTTCTGTCATGTTCTGCTCTGGTATGTTCTGTGATATGCTGGCGTCCTCTATTTTGTCATGATATCGATATGATATGTTCTGCAATTTTATGTCATGCTCTTGCTCTGTTCTGTCATGTTCTGTTTCGTCACATTGTGTTCTATCGTGTTTGTCGAGGGCGCGAGGCAAGATACCCGGGATTCTCGGGACAACGTGAGGCCTGGCGGCCGCAGTATGCAGGGTGTGTACTGTCATGTTTGTCGAGGGCGCGAGGCGGGATAACCAGGACTCTCGGGACAACTTGGGGTCTGGCGGCCGCGGTATGCAGGGTGTGTTCTGTCGTGTTTGTCGAGGGCGCGAGGCGGGATAACCGGGACTCTCGGGACAACTTGGGGTCTGGCGGCCGCGGTATGCAGGGTGTGTTCTGTCGTGTTTGTCGAGGGCGCGAGGCGGGATAACCGGGACACTCGGGGCAACTTGGGGTCAGGCGGCCGCGGTATGCAGGGTGCGAGTGGCCGGGAGGTCTGTTCTTAAAATCTATCGACTCCACCCTGTCCAGCGGGGAACAAGAGAAGAAGCGAGGGCCTGATTCATGAGTGTCGACGGAGCGGCGTTCCCATAAATTGCAACCAAAGACAACGCGAGAGCGCGATTCCAGCATAAATTGTGAGGAAGTTTCGCGCGCGAGCACGATTCCCAAATGAATTGTGAGGACATGTCAGGCGGGAGCCGTTGTTGTTGTTGAACCTCGGGGGACAACGACGCATTGTGAGCCCCAAGACTTTCCCTTGAAAAAAACACCAGGTGGAAGCCCCTGCAGGAGCACCTTAATCGAAAACACAACGGGCACTGGGCAGTGGGGACCAACCAAAAGCATTCTTTAGATTACACATGAAAAGTCAACAGCAACACAACCACAACAACCACAGCCACAAAAACATCATCACCACCATCACCGACACCACAATCACCACCACCAATCGCCATCACCACCCATGAACACCATCACATTCCATCACCTCCCATCATCTTCATCATCACCAATATCATCAGCATCATCCTCTTCAAATCCCTCATCCGCACCACCACCACCAATCATCATCACCATCCAACAATACGAACACATTCCATCATCAGCAGCAACACCACCGTCATCGTCATCATCCTACTCATCAGCAGCATCCTCACAACTATATATCACCATCCTCGATAAACCACATCACCACCATCAGCATCAGCATCAGCAGCATCGTCGTCATCATCCTTATCACCTACATCATCACCATCAGCATCATCACCATCATCACCATATCAGAATCACCACCATCGTCACCGTCGTCGTTGTCATCACTAGCAGCAGTTTCCCCATCACCGCCCGTCACCACCATCAACCATGATCGTCGTCATCGCCACTTATAGCTACCATCATCAAAAGCATAATCAGCATCATCATCACCGCCACCACCATCATCATCAACAACGTCAACCGCATCGTGATTCGGGCGTGCTGGAGAGCCGTGCAGCCTCGTGGAGTCCACGCAGAGCAAAGGGGCCGTGGGAGGAATCAGGGAATCGTCATCGTCGTCGTCATCGCCACCGTCGCCGCCCCGCTTCCCGCCAGACTGGGGCTCCTCCGATTAACCCGGGAGCTCGCCTCCCGAGATCGACCTCCGTCCGAACGCGGGCACGGGCGAAACCCCCCGTCCTTGATGCGCAGGTTCCGGGCCTCGAGGGAGGCCTGGCGCGCCCGCTGGCGGCGAGCGAGCACGGCAGCCTCCCTCTCTCCACGTCCTGGTCCTCCTCCTCCTCCTTCTCCTCCTCCTCCTTCTCCTCCTCCTCCTCCTTCTCCTCCTGCTTCTCCTCCCTTCCAGGTCCTCCTCCTCCTCCTCCTCCTCCTCCTCCTCCTCCTCCTCCTCCTCCTCCGCCTCCGCCTTCTCTTTCTCCTCCATTCCTTTTCCTTATACATAACTCCTCCCTGTCGCATCCCGAGGCCGGTCGAAAGGGCGGACCGGGCGTTTCGACTGAAACTTCCTCACCCTTTACGATCGTGAAGCTGAAAGACTGACAAATGCTTCACAGATTGAAGGCGAGTTGTCTTCAAAATGTGGCTCTCGCCGTAGCGCCTCGCACATTCGTTTAAAAAATGCTTGCAAAGTTTCCTGGGTTGAGGGCGGGTCGTTTTCAAAGTGTGGTTCTCGCCTTAGCGCCGCGCACATTCGTTTGCAAGAATCCAAGAATTTCGAAGATTGAGGGCGGGTCCATTTCAAAATGTGGCTCTCGCCTTAGCGCCGCGCACACTCGTTGCAAAAAGACACAGGAGCTTCACGGAGTGAGGGCGGGTCGTTTTCAAAGTGTGGTTCTCGCCCTAGCGCCGCGAACATTCGTTTGCAAAAATCAACGAATTTCAAAGATTGAGGGCGGGTTCACTTCAAGATGTGGCTCTCGCCTTAGCGCCGCGCACACTCTTTGCAAAAAAATACAAGAACTTCAGGGATTGAGGGCGGCTCGTTCTCAAAATGTGGTTTTCGCCTTAGCGCCGCGCACATTCGTTTTCAAAAACCAAAAAAAACCTAACATTGAAGGCGGGTCCATGTCAAAATGTGGCTCTCGCTTTTGCGCCTTGTCCATTCGTTTGCAAGAAATCCAAGAATTCCACAGATTGAGGGTGGGTCCATTTCAAAATGTGGCTCTCGCCTTAGCGCCACGCACACTCGTTGCAACAACTTTTCCAGAGCTTCACGGATTGAGGGCGGGTCGCTTTCAAAGTGTGGTTCTCGCCTTAGCGCCGCGCACATTCGTTTGCAAAAATCCAAGAATTTCAAAGATTGAGGGTGGGTCCATTTCAAAATGTGGCTCTCGCCTTAGCGCCGCGCACACTCGTTGCAATAAAGATACAAGTGCTTCACGGATGGAGGGCGGCTCGTTCTCAAAATGTGGCTTTCGCCTTAGCGCCGCGCACATTCCTCTGCACCCCCCCCCCCCCCCAAACAAAAAATGAGAGCGGGTCCATGTCAAAATGTGGCTCTCGCCTTAGCGCCGCGCACTTTCGTTTTAAAAGTTCGAGAGTTTCAATGGTTCTCACGGTCAACGTACATGAAATTGCGTCTTGGATGGATTCAGGGATGTCAGGGCGCACCAGTTACGCTGACTCGCGGTGTTGAAATCCTTGGAACGGCGTTCTGGCACGATTAAGGATCGCCAAGGCGTAACAGTCAGGTTAGCTCATGGCATTGAAATCCTAAGAATTGTGTTTCGGCACGCTTCAGGATTTCCACACGGATGTCCCCCAACGGGGCCATTCCCTCAGTGGAAATGAACCCTTGCAGGGGCCTGTGAAGAAGGAGTTTGGAGGGAGGGGGTGTATCACAATATCGTTGATGGGTCTTGGGTTTACACTGGTCCTCCTCCCCCATCCTCGTCCTGCTCCTCCCTTCCCCCTCCTCCTCCCCCTCCTCCTCCTCCTCGTCATCATCATCATCATCACCATCATCATCAGCAGCACCATAATCATCATCATCGTCATCTTCATCTTCAGCAACATCATCATCGTCGTCGTCATCATCATCATCATCATCATCCTAATCAGCATCATCATCATCATCATCATCATCATCCTCATCATCATCATCATCATCAGCCTCATCATCAGCAGCATCATCATCATCACCATCATCACCATCATTATCATTACCATCGTCGTCATCATCAACAACAACATCAACACCACCATCAGCATAATCAGCATCCTCATCATCATTATCATCAGCACCCGCATTATCATCATCGTCGTGGTCGTCAGCATGCTCATCAGTAGCGTATTCATCAGCATCATCAGCTACATCATCATCATCATCATCATCATCATCATCATCATCATCACCAGCACCATTTATCGCAAGTTTATATATCATCATCATCTGCATCATCATCAACAGCATCAGCATCACAAACATCCTCATCAGCATCATCACCATCATCATCGTCGTCGACATCGTCACCATCATTATCAGCATCATCATTACCATCCTCAGTATCATCATAATCAGCTGCATCAGCATCAGCATCAGCATCAGCATCAGCATCAGCATCAGCATCATTATCAACACCATCATCATCCTCATCACCACCACCACCACCATCATCATCAGCAGCAGCCGCATAATTGCTTGCACGATCATAACATGCCATCTCCTCCTCCGCCTCCTCCTACTCCTCCTCCTCCGCTTCCTCCGTCTCCGCCGCCTCTCTGCCTCTTCTCCCTCCTCCTCCTCGTCCTCGTCTTCATCATCCTCATCCTCTTCCTCCTCCTCGTCTTCCTCCTTCTCCACCTCCTCCTCCTCCACCTCCTCCTCCTCGGCCTCCTCCGCCTCCTCTGTCTCCTCCTCCTCCTCCTCCTCCTCCTACTCCTCCTCCGCTTCCTCCGTCTTCTCTGTCTCCTCTGTCTCCTCCTCCTCCTCCTCCTCCTCCTCCTCATTCTCCTCCTCCTCCTCGTCCTTGTCCTCGTCCTCGTCCTCCTCCTCCCTCCTCCTCCTCCTCCTCCTCCTCCTCCCTCCTCCTCCTCCTCCTCCGGCTCCGCCTCCTCCTCCTCCTCCTCCTCCTCGTCCATCATCATCATCATCATCATCATCATCATCATCATCATCATCATCATCATCAGCATCAGCAGCAGCAGCAGCATCATCATCATCATCATCATCATCATCATCATCATCAGCATCATCATCATCATCATCATCATCAGCATCATCATCATCATCATCATCAGCATCATCATCAGCATCATCATCATCATTCATCATCATCATCATCATCATCATCATCATAATCAGCATCATCATCGTCACCATCACCATCACCATGATCATGATCATCATCATCAGCAGCAGCATCATCATCAGCAGCATCACCATCACCATCAATCATCATCATCAGCATCATAATCATCATAATCATCATCATCAGCATCATCATCATCATCATCATCATCATCATCATCATCATCATCATCATCATCCATCCTTCTCCTCCTCCTCCTTCTCCTCCTTCTCCTCCCCCTCCTCCTCCTCCTCCGCCTCCTCCTCCTCCTCCTCCTCCTCCCTCCTCCTCCTCCTCCTCCTCCTCCTCCTCCTTCTTCCTCCTCCCTCCTCCTCCTCCTCCTCCTCCTCCTCCTCCTCCTCCTCCTCCTCCTCCTATTCTTCTTCTTTTCATTATGATTATTATTATCCTTGTTATTATTATTATTATTATTCTCTCCCTCCCCCAGGTCATCCTCGTCCACATGCTCCAGATGCTCATCTTCCTGACGCGGGCGCCGACGAGGGAGGGGAGGGAACGGGAGAGTGGGACGGGGTGGGGGGAGAGAGGGGAGGGATGCAAGGTAAAGAAGCAGCATGGGAGGGGGGGCAGGAGCGAGGGGGAGGGAGGCAGGGAGGGGAGGAGCCTCTGCTTGGCCGAGGCTCCATCCGAAGAGGGCGGGTGCCCGCCCTTGCACACCTTCTAGCAGCTCGGCAGCAGCCTCCCTGGGGCCGCACAACTGCACGCGCCGAGGAAAACTCGGGGCGGGCGCCTCGGGGAGAGCGCTCCCTGCCGCATGCGGCGGCATGCCGAGAGGGGCATGGTGCGACGCGCGGCTTCGATGAGCTCATGCTCGCAAAGAGGGTGCCGAGGCGGGTGGCGCCACGTGGCACGAGGACCACGCCACTTACGCCGCACAGGCACCGATCGAGGAAAAAAAGAAGCGGCAGCAGCGGCGGCCGAATGATGGGGACCAGCAGCGGCATGCCGAGAGGGAGGGAGGAAAGACTGGCTTTTGTCGGTTACCCCCCTCTCCTCCTCCCGCCCTCGCCCTCGCCATCCATCGTCCTCATTACAGCCGTGTCGCGCGAATTTGACGGCGGTGCGATTGGATTCGCAGTGCCAGCCGATGTGTGAGATGTGCGAGGCTTGTCAGAGAGCGTGTTCCGCTGAAGAACAAAAAATAAATAATCTGGTTTCTTTTCGCCACACGTAGGAGTGACCCATCCAGCCATCGCTCTGGCATAGGGCCAGCCAGCCATCGCAGTGCCCAGTGCGCTGCGCCTTGCGGACTCGAGCGCCCCAGGAGGACTCGGCAGACACATCCATGTGCAGGAGGACCAGCCCTGGAATACCAAAAACACCGAAGAAAAAAACTTCTGGAGGTCCGCGCGAACTTCTGGGGTCGGCGCTGGACACCGCGCCCACCGCAGCTCCTCCCCAGCCCGCGGAGCGAGATGGCAGCGGCGCCAGAAGCGCCGCCAGGGGTGGCGGGAAGGAGGGCCCAGCGCCGACCCGAGAGATCCGCCCAGACCTCCGAGAAGGTCGACACCGCCCTCTGCTCCTGGCAGCCCGAGCCCCGAGGGTGGGCCAGGCGTGCCACCCTCCCCCGGTCCACCCGAGGAGCCCCCCGGCGCGGGAGCGCGCTCACCGCCGCCTCCCCCTCCTCCTCCTCCTCCTCCTCCTCCTCCTCCTCCTCCTCCTCCTCCTCCTCCTCCTCCTCCACTACTCCAGAACCTCGCCGCCGTCCCAGAGCCCGCGGCCGAGCGAGAACTCGGCGGCGGCCCTCGACTCGACTCAGAGGTGCCAGCCCTTTTGCCCCGAGGGCCCTACTGGCAGGAGGAGTGGGACCAGTCGAGCCAGGTCGGGGCGTGGACAGCCGCGCCCTCAGAGGGAGAGCACTTCGTGGGGCGGGGACCAGAATGCGCCGAGTGAGCACCACCAGGGAGCCGCTGCAAATGGCTTTCGAGTATCTGTTGTGCAGTTTTGCAGTGCGGCACGAGTTGCAATGTGGATGCGTATTTGTGTGCTGTGAATGATAGTGTCGTGTCTGATTGGTCGTGTGGCATGTTTGCACCTGCTTGTAATATCATCCTGAACGCGGTTTCTGATAATTGACTACCATAGCGCCTGCAATGTCTAATTGGTCGTTGCTGCAGTTGGCTCTTATCGGGCTGGCGTGAAGTCCTGACGCCCGTCATGGCTGATTGGTCGTGGAATGCTGATACGGCCAAGTCATAGCATGATACTGATTAGCCTTCTGATGTGATGGACTAGTACTGTCTTATGTCATTGGTGACTTACTTGTAAACATGTCATGCCTGTGTCTATCATGTCTATGACTCGCGTATGTCAGTCTGCATATAGGATCATGACTTATGTCTGTAGTTTGGGTCTGTCATCGGTTATGTTCGGGGCCCGGCGAGGCGGGCCACCAGGAACTGCCAGGGTAGTGAAGCCTGGAGGTCGCGGTGTACAGAGCTGGCGGGCGAGGTGGGACATCAGGGGCTATCGAGAGTACCCCGGCCTGGCGGTCGCGGTTTGCAGGGCTGGCGAGCTCAGTCCTGTTTGTGCAGATGGTGGTGCATATGATGCTCGGGATAGATGGTTGAAATCCGTGGCTTCTGTCAGGTCGCGAGGGCCAGGCCAGGAGCAACTGGGACACACCACTTCGTGGAGACTAGATCATTCCGAGGCAGCGCCCCCCATACCTGGGTAGGAATACGCAAACAGCCCCGTCTGCCGGGTGGGGATAAAATGAAAGCCAGAGCCGATTCCATTGGGGAGGAACGACCACACATACATATCGCCAGAGCGCAATCGAGGGATCGTGACCACCAGTGGCGAGGGGCAACAAGTGGCATCGGTCACGAAAGTCATGCTGGGTGGCGGCCAGGGTCAGAGCTGGCAGCTGGAAGCAACAAGTATCCTGTCGAACACATGCGAACCCTGCCACTGGGGCCGTCGGTGCGAACCATGCCACTGGGGCCTTCGGCGGAGCTCCCTTAGGGGCCGCGAAACATGTGACGGGTGCACCACAATGGGACGGGTAACCATGCGGCCCCTGCCACTGGGGCCCTCGGTGAAGCTCCCTATGGGGGCACGAAGCGTGTGCGTGGTGTGCCGAAGCGGACATGCGGAAGGCAGGGCAAGGAGGAGGAGGAGGAAGAGGAGGAGGAGGAGGAGGAGGAGAAGAAAGAGGAGGAGGAGGAGGAGGAGGAAGAGGAAGGAGACGTGCGGCGCTGCGCTTTCAAGACGAGGAGCCAACTCACAGGAGGAGTTGGGATCCGTACCAGGCGAGCAGACCAGCAAACAGACAAGCGAGCACCCGTCCCCGCCCTTCGGCGGAGGGGCGCTGGGGCCTCGAGCTGGCGGATGCGCGCCGCGCGCGAGAGCAGCTCCGCGGTCTGCGCCTCCACCTCCAGCCGGGCAGCGCGCTCCCGTGCCAGCGCCTGGCACCGGGGAGGGCGAGGGGAGGGCGAAGGGAGGGCGAGGGGAGGGCGAGGGGAGGGCGAGAGCAGGTCAGCCTACGGCCAGGAACTTGTGGACAGCGTGTCGCGGCGGCGGCCCCGGCGATTTGTTCCTCTCAGCGAGGGACACATCGGAGCCGAGGGACACATCGGAGCCGAAAAGGGCACAGGGGGAGGAAGAAAGGGCGGAGCACGCTCAGACCGTGAAGATCTTGCACGTGTGCCAGAACACAGGCTAGAACGCGCAGCGAGCCGGGAGTGGCAGGGCAAGACGTGTGGCCGTGCCAAAGTGCGGCAAGTTCATGAGACGCCCTGTGGCGGAACTCCGAGGCGACCGCGCACGCAGCTCATGCGAAGAGCAGTCCAAGTTGCAAAGACAGTACAGAGCTCCAGTGAAGAAACCGACCACGTGTGTCGCCGAAACGCAATCTGGGGAACGGCACGGACCAGCAGCCCAGGGAAGCCAGCCCCAGCGACGCGCTGTGCCTTCAAGCGGATAGGTTGTCGCTCCGCTCCGCGGGACGGGAAGCTCGGGAAAGATGGCGAAGGCAAGATAGCCGCAGGGGGGGCTTGGGAAAGATGGCAGGAACGATAACAGGCTCCGCAACCCAGGGCCGGATAGCGGGAGGCTGGGAAAGGCTCGGGACGTTGACGCTTGGGAATGGTGACGTGGATAGCGTGTCGCACTGAAGCGCAAAGGGGTCAGAACCGGCGGAGCGACGCGCGAAGCCAAAGCTCCTGACCGTGAGCACAAGGGCTTTGGGGTGTCCGCGCAGACCTTCGAGAGCGTGTGCTCCCGCTGCTTCCGCTTCTTCGAGGGAAGCGAGGCCCGGGCGGGGGGGTGCACGGCGAGAGGGGCGGGCGGAAAAAAAAGGGGGGAAGGCAGCGGGAAAAGGAGGGCGGCCATGGAGGAGGAGGAGGAGGAGGAGGAGGAGGAGGAGGAGGAGGAGGAGGAGGACGACGACGACGACGACGACGACGAAGAGGACGAGCACAAAGGGGAGGAGGAGGAGGAGGAGGAGGAGGAGGAGGAGGAGGAGGAGAAGGAGGAGGAGGAGAGGAGGAGGAGGAGAGAGGAGGAGGAGGAGGAGGAGGAGGAGGAGGAAGGAGAGGAGGAGGAGGACATAGGGAAGAAGGAGGAGGAGGACGAGGACGAGGACGAGGCCGAGGACGACGACAACGATGGAAGAGAAGGGGGGCAAGGGCATGGAAAAATAAAAAATGAGTAGACTGGTTTCTTGGGTCCGCGCTCGACCCTCCCCCCCTCCCTGGCGCGCGCTCCGGCGCCCCAGGGGGTGGCGCCAGAGGCGCTGCTAGGGGGGGGGCCCAGCGCCGAACCAAGAAAATCCGCGCGGACATTTGAAAGCGGAAAGTCAACCCGTGCAACAAGGACGCACGAGAGGGATGCAAGGACCCTGGAAGTAGGGAATCGAACTCTATACACCGACGATTCTGGGGGCCCTGCATTGAAATTTGCACTGGAGAGCGGATCCTGGTGTATACGGGACCCTGGTGTATACATTTTTCGCTGCTTCCCCGGGACATCGGGGAAAAAGCGTACACCACACCACCCAAGCATCGCCCCCGACCCTCAAGAAGTCCTGGGATTGAAGAACAGCCCGCCACTGGTAATGTATATGTTCCAGTTTCCGAGGAAGGCCGTCGACACTCTGCGAGCGGGGCGCGGCCAGCGAAAGCGGCCAAGGATGGGCCGAAGGGGAAGGAGGCAAGGATAACCTTAGGAAGGAGGCAGCAGGGAGGAGGGGAGGAGGGGGTTGACAAGGCGGGAGGAGGGAGGGGGAGGCTCGGAGGAGCATGTCAAGACAGCAAGGGCTGGTGCCACAGCAGTCAATGCCAGAAGAGCAGGAAGCCTTTGAGACCCTCCGCCGCACAGGGAAGCGCTCGCACTCGGGGAGCGACGCCCTGGACCTGGCCGAGCTCGAGCTCGATCGCCTGCCTCTGCCCCTGGCCACCTGCTCGACGCAGGCGGCCCGCTGGCGAGGCAGGGAACCGCCCGCGCCTCGCGTGCCTGCGGCTCGTGGCCGTGCAGCCCTGCCCGGCTACGGCCTCCACTCCCTCGGCGAGAGCGGCACCGGGGGGGCGGGGCGCGGATGCGAGCAACGTGTCCGCATCCGCGGCCTCGCGCCCCTGGGCCGCCACCGTCGCGGATGCGGGCGCGGCTGCCGCAGGTGCCCAGTGAGTATTCGCGCCCCGGAGTCCAGACCGCGAGGTCGCGGATGCGGAGATGTTCGCCACTCGTGAGGGTTGCGGAGGGGGGGGGCGTGGAGCCGGAGGGGTGCACGGGGCTCCACGCCCCACACGCCGCACTCCACCTCCGCGAGAGCCCCGCCACGCCCCCCCCGTCGGGCTCCGCGCCCCGCACGCCCTCCGACCAGCACGCCGTGCGGCCTCCGTGAGGGCGGCATCGCCCGCCCCCCCCCCTTTGGGGTTCTGGCCCGCCGTCTCTGGCGCCACCGCTCGCCGCGGCGACCGTCACCGCCTCCTGGTCGGGCAGCACGGCTGTGCTCTGCTCGACCAGATCCCTGCACCTGCCCCTGTGAAGCGGCACGTGCGGCTGTTCCTGCAGCTTCTCGATCGACTTGTCTGGTAGTTTGCAGTGAGCTGCCCCGTCGAGAGCTTCGCCGCCTGATTACCGGGGTGTGGTGTGCTACGCCGTCGGGGAATCATCTGCCCGCACGAGGGGTCTCTCGACGCCGCCTGCGCATCAGTCAGCTCGGGGGGTCGCCTGGAGCACGAAGGGTGACGCTGGTGGCGGCGCGTCGTCCTCCTCGAAGTCGCCCTCGTGCTCCCTCCCTGGACGTCTTCCAGGTGGGAGTCCGCATCTGAGGCGCCAATGCCGTCACTGACGGAGCCGTTCCCGAGCGCGATGAGGCCAACGATGCTGCTCACATCGTCGAGCCACCTCGCGGCCTCGTGGGCTGCCTCACCGCCATGTGCTTCAAGCCAGCCTGCAGGCTCTTCCTCGCGCGCCCATTCCATTAGTCTCCTTTTCCAACCGCACCCATACCACAAAGAAGCGCCACGCTGTGATGGTGGGCACGTCACCGCTCGCGCTGCTCGCAGTGCTGCCTATGACGGTGCCCTGCCCGATTGCTCAAAAGCCCGCGTCAAGGCTGACACTTTCTTGCGGGTTACGGTCAGAGAGTGTTGCTTAGCGTGTCGCACGCAGGCACCTGCGATAAGGTCTGCCATGCAAGCTGACGGCGTGTCGCTCTGCTTCGTGGAACGGGAGGCTGCGAAAAGATCGGAACGTTGACGCTTAAGAATTGGGGCGTGCTGAGCGTGTCGCGCCGAAGCGTTTTTGGGCCACAACCGGCGGCGCGACATACTAAGCGATGGTTCCGGACTGCATCCCACGCTCGATTGCCATTACCAATCGCGTCGTGAACCGCCCAGGAAACTCAGTGCCCAGCAGCCGTCTCGCCCGCGCCCCCTGGCTCGACGTTTGTAGGCCCCCTCGCTGGACCCCATACGGTGAGGGCATTGGATAAGGACCCATTGGATAAGAAATCATGGACTTGTAAGCCAGTGGGACTCCAATCGTTGATTGGCTGTGGATACCACCGCCGCACTCATTAGATAAAGAGTCCTCCAGGGTCTGAAGCTTCCTGGTCACATTCTTGAACGAACGCCCCCACCATATGCTGAACTACTCGGCGGGCATGTGCCGTCTTGGCCGGGAACCTGGTAGAGGCGGCAACTTCCAATGCGAGGATAAGGATCATGGAGAGGAGAAGGAGGTATGGGAAGAGGAGGAGGAGGAGGAGGAGGAGAAGGAGAAGGGTCCCGAGCAGGAGAATGGGGGACGAGGACGTCCTAACCCTCCTCGTTGCCGTCCTCCTCGCTTCCCTCCTCCTCCTCCTCCTCCTCCTCTTCATCCTCCTCCTCCTCCTTCTCCCCCTCCTCCTCCTCCTCCTCTTCTTCCTGCTCATCCTCTGACCTCCCTCATCATATCCCTTCCCAGACCTTCGTGTTTTGATTATTAGCGCCCTCTTGACCTCTCGACACCATCGCCAAGACCGTTTTGTCGGCACGGATTGCGCTCTGATGGCCATGGGACCGAAATCGTGTCCTCCTCCTCCTCCTCCTCCTCCTCCTCCTCGTCCTCCTCCTCATACTCCTCCTTGTCCTCCTCCTCCTCCTGATCCTCCTCTTCTTCCTCCTCCTCCTCCTCCTCTTCCTCCTCCTCCTCCTGATCCTCCTACTCCTGCTCCTGCTCCTGCTCCTGTTCCTGCTCCTGCTCCTGCTCCTCCTCCTCCTTCTCCTCCTCCTCCTCATCATCCTCATCCTCATCCTCCTCCACTTCCTCATCCTCCTCATCCTCCTCCTCCTCGTCCTCCTCCTCCTCATCATCATCATCATGTTCCTCCTCCATTCCTTTGCATTACAAATAACTTCTCCCTGTCGCACCCCGAGGCCAGATTTAAGGGCCGGGCGTTTCGCCTGAGACTTCCGAGACTTCCTCATCATTGATGATTGAAAGCTTAAACAGTAGCAACAGCTTCACATATGGAGGGCGGGTCTTTTTCAAAATGTGGCTCTCGCCATAGCGCCCAGCACATTGGTTTTTCGAAAGTACAAGAGATTCACGGATTGAGCGCGACCCGTTTCAAAATGTGGCTCTCGCCTTAGCGCCGCGCACATTCTTTCTACAAAGTTGCACGGGCTCCACGGGTTTTAAGCGATCCGTTATCAAAATGTGGCTCTCGCCTTAGCGTCACGTACATTCGTTTTACAGAATTATAAGAGCTTCACGGATTGAGGGCGAGCGGTGTTCTACATGTGGCTCTCGCCTTAGATTTGCAAGAGCTTCACGGGTTGAGGGCGGCTCCTTTTCAAAATGTGGCTCTCGCCTTAGCGCCGCGCACACTCGTTGATAAAAATAGCAAGAGTTCCAAGGACTCCCATGATCAACGTACCAGAAACAATGTCTTGGAAGGATATGCGGGTGCAACTGTTACGTTGATTCGCGGTGTTGGGGTCACAAGAATGGCTTTCTGGCACGATTCGGGATCGTCAAGACGCAACAGTCAGGTTGATCCATGGAGTCGGAATCCCGAGAACAATGTTTTGGCATGCTCCTCCTCCTCCTCCTCCTCCTCCTCCTCCTCCTCCTCCTCCTCCTCCTCCTTGTCCTCCCCCCCTTCTTCGTCGTCCTCCCCTCCACCTTCCTGATCGCCCCGTCCCTGGTGCGAGTTCCCTGCCCTCCCCGTGTGCCCTGTCCACCCTGGACCCGAAGCCGGCGCCCTGGCAGCGCGGGGGTGAGGGGGAGGAGGAGGAAAGAGGAAGGGAGGGAGAATCGCCCTAACTGTCTCCCCACGCCATGCCCCTATGCCCCTTGGGGATGCATGGCATGAGACGGGTACTGTCCATCTCGATTCCCCTCTCGACCATTATTGCAAGTTGGGCTGATGCTGGCCATCGCTGCTACCCTGTTCTTGCCTCTGGTTTGCATGTGTGGACACCTCGGACATTCGTTTTCAGGGCTTTGGAAAGGAGAAGGAGGAGGAGAAGGAGGACCAGTAAAACGCCTCAACGATGTTGCAATACACCCTCCCTCAAGGTCCCCTCTTCATGTGTCTCTACAAAATTTGACCTTACTGCGGGAAGCGGTCCATTTGAAGACAACCGTCAGAGAATTCAAAATCGTGACAAAGCACCATTCCTGGTACTTCGGCGCTGCGAATCAAAGTGGCTGTTCCGCCCTGACAATCCGAAGTCGTGCCAGAACATCCTTCCTGGGACTTCAACACAGCGAATCAACGCGACGATCGCGTCGGGACAATCCTGAGTCGCGTCAGAACACGATTCCTGGAACTTCAAACATACGATACGAACCCTTTGAACTGTCGCAAACTGTTAAAACGAATGTACGCGGCACTAAGGCGAGAACCACATTTACTGCCCTCCATCCGCGAAACTGATGTTGCAAATTTGTGAAACGAATGCACGCGGCGCGAAGGCAAAATTGTGAAACAAATTTGTGAGACGAATGCCACACTATTTTTAAAAAAAATAATATTTTTGGGGTTTCTTTTATCCATAAAACTGGCGCGCACTTTCACAACATACTAAAACGAGAGCCACAATTTGAAGACGGCCCGCCCCCCATCCGTGAAACTGTTGCAAACTGTTCAGACGAACGCGCGCAGCGCTAAGGCGAGAGCCACATTTGGAACACAGCCCGCCCTTCATTCTAGAACCTGTTACAATGTTCAAGCCTCCGGAACGTACACGTTGAAGAAGTTTCAGGCGAAACGCCCGGCCCGCCCTACCGACACGTATAGGGGTGCGACACCTACCAACGGAAAAGTGATGGAGAGAAGGAAGAAAAAAAGGAGGAGAAGAGGAGGAGAAGGAGAAGGAGAAGCAGTAAGATGCGGAGTGAGGAGGAGACGGAGGGGGAGGAGGAGGAGGAGAAGGAGGAGCAGGAGAAGAAGGGCGGAGGAGGAGG